ATACATGCATACATACAAACATACATACATACACACGTATATACATACATCTAAACCCTAGGCCCTAAACCTAAGGCCCTAAACCCTAGGCCCTAAACGTAAGGCCCTAAACCCTAGGCCCCAAACCCTAGGCCGTCAACCTAAGGCCCCAAACCCTAGGCCCTAAACCCTAGGCCCTAAACCCTAGGCCCTAAACCCTAGGCCCTAAACGTAAGGCCCTAAACCCTAGGCACTAAACCTAAGGCCCCAAACCCTACTAAACCTAAGGCCCCAAACCCTAGGCCCTAAACCTAAGGCCCCAAACCCTAGGCCCTAAACCTAAGGCCCTAAACCCTAGGCCCTAAACCTAAGGCCCCAAACCCTAGGCCCTAAACCCTAGGCCCTAAACCCAAGGCCCTAAACGCAAGGCCCTAAACCCTAGGCACTAAACCTAAGGCCCCAAACCCTAGGCCCTAAACCTAAGGCCCCAAACCCTAGGCCCTAAACCTAAGGCCCTGAACCTTAGGCCCTAAACGTATGGCCTAGGGGAGGGGGGGGGGAGGGGCTGAAAATCGGGCAGCATTTCCTTCCCCCAAGCATGCCGGTAGAAAGGGGAAAAAAAGAGAAAAAAAAAACAAACCTCAACCGAATAAAAGGTAGAAAAAGGTAGAAAAAGGTAGAAAAAGGTAGAAATGGGGGATACCGTGTGTGTGTACAAATGAAAAAAAATGGTGTTGGGAACCAGGCATGTCTTGACAGACAGGCAGAAACCGGAAGATTTTGGAAGAAAATTGCAGAATTCCGACGAATCTAGAAGAATTTAGAAGAATTTAAAAGCATGCAGCAGTCTTACCTAGAACAGGGAAGACTACAAGGCTTGCTCCAGACACTCGCACCAAAAGCATTTGCATGAATTTTGCATAAAAAAACAAAAAAAATTTCCTCGCTTCGCGAACATCCATATTTGTTTTCAACTCTAGTACTCCACACACACTACAAGGCTTGCTCCAGACACTCGCATCAAAAGCATTTGCATGAATTTTGCATAAAAAAACAAAAAAATTTCTTCGCTTCGCGAACATCCATATTTGGTTTCGACTCTAGTACTCCACACACACTACAAGGCTTGCTCCAGACACTCGCACCAAAAGCATTTGCATGAATTTTGCATAAAAAAACAAAAAATTTCCTCGCTTCGCGAACATCCATATTTGTTTTCAACTCTAGTACTCCACACACACTAATTACAAGGCTTGCTCCAGATACTCGCACCAAAAGCATTTGCATGAATTTTGCATATAAAAACAAAAAATTTCCTCGCTTCGCGAACATCCATATTTGTTTTCAACTCTAGTACTCCACACACACTACAAGGCTTGCTCCAGACACTCGCACCAAAAGCATTTGCATGAATTTTGCATAAAAAAACAAAAAATTTCCTCGCTTCGCGAACATCCATATTTGTTTTCAACTCTAGTACTCCACACACACTACAAGGCTTGCTCCAGACACTCGCACCAAAAGCATTTGCATGAATTTTGCATAAAAAAAACAAAAAAATTTCCTCGCTTCGCGAACATCCATATTTGTTTTCAACTCTAGTACTCCACACACACTACAAGGCTTGCTCCAGACACTCGCACCAAAAGCATTTGCATGAATTTTGCATAAAAAACAAAAAAATTCCTCGCTTCGCGAACATCCATATTTGTTTTCAACTCTAGTACTCCACACACACTACAAGGCTTGCTCCAGACACTCGCACCAAAAGCATTTGCATGAATTTTGCATAAAAAACAAAAAAATTTCCTCGCTTCGCGAACATAGCAAAGGGTTTCAATTTTCCACACACATAGTCTATTACTCTGTTACTCCATTACTCTATTATTCTATTATTCTATTACTCTATTACTCTATTACTCAAATACTCTAGTACTCTATTAGTCTATTACTCTATTATTCTATTACTCTATTACTTCACTACTCGATTACTCATATTTGTTTTCAACTCTAGTACTCCCACAAAGTGGGTGTTTTCACCCAAACCCTAAACCCTAAACCCTACACCTTTAGACCCGAACAACCGTAAGCCCTAAACCCTAAACCTTTAAACCCTGAACCTCGGAAGTTGGCACCCTAAACTTTGTGGGCCCCGAAGCTGACCAATACTAGACCTAGAATCTTTAAACCCTAAACCTCGGTGTTCCATTTTGGCAGGTCCTCGAGCCGTGCCAGGAAGCCTAAACCATGAGCCCTAAACCCTAAACCGTGTTTAAGCCTCAAATTGAAACCCTCACATAATTCGCATTTCTGCCACAATCTTCCAAATAATTTGTTTTTCTTCAGTAATCTTCCAAATAATTCATTTTTCTTCAACAATCTTCCAAATAATTCGTTTTTCTTCAACAATCTTCCAAATAATTCAACAATCTTCTTAAATCTTCGGTAGTGGCTGAGAAGTACCCCTGCTGAGAAGTACCCCTAGGCTCATGAATGATATGAGGAAGCCAAGACGTCGGGAACGGCCCAAACTAATGATTGGTCGCAGACTCGCTTGCGGCCATTCTATATCATGCGCAGCGGGAACCAGCAGTCCTACACCCTCCACCGTCGTTTACATGCATTCAACAATCAGACTCTGGTTGTTGGGGTTGATCCATCGGCTAGGCTGGCAAAACAGTCGACAGGGCCTCCGGAGTTGAGAGCTTTGTCTGGGGCCATTGGATTCAGGTACGGAGGAGTGAGTGGGCCAAATGATATTGTGCATCTTCACCAAGCAATCAAAGGTCTGCCTGAACAAGTTGAGATGACGAGTGTCTTCATCATCTTGTGGACGCAGTACTTCTTGAGGATGGAGATACAGTACTTTGAGACACTGTATGGTGTTCCAGTTGCGTGGATCCCACCACCGGGTGGTTGGGGAGGAGGTTCTGTGAATCCGGACCTTGATGCTCCAGGGGCCGCACATTGGCACATCTTCGGCGGAGATCAGGTTGAAGGGAACATGATCAAGGATTATGCGCTCTGGTACAAGCAGAACTCTGCGCTGAACCACCTGACAATCATCGTGAATGAAGCAGCCGAGCTGACGCCCGAGAGGATTGCCTTGATCATCATGATCGCACTTGGTTTGCCCTTCGGCAATGCAGCAGTAGGCTATCCGGCCAACACTGCCTTACCTGGAGGCGGCAACATCCAGAATGCGAGAGGAGGATTCAAGTTCTGGGCTTCAAATTACAACATGCTTGGATTCACTGACATTGTGATTGTGATCAAGGGTGGGCTTTCACAGGATGAGTTGGATAACCTTCCAGTGCCTGGTTTTGGAGGAATTGCACCTCCATGGCCTCCAGCGCAGCCCGTGAACCTTCCATCTGCGTTGGACATCTTGTCGATGATCGATGAGATAGCAGGCCACTTTGGTACTGAAAAACAGTCAGTGGTGGGCTATGAGATAGCCATGACTTTCACAAAGGGCTTCCCGGCTCCAGGAGTGTTTGGCAATGGCGGTGATGAAGCAAGCACCACCATAGCTTCAAGGCAGGCGAGAGCCGCAGCTGTCGCCCAAGAGGCAGCAAATCACGCAGCTCACACAGCACAGGTTGCTGCGTATGATGCCGCACTGGCGGCTTTGCCTGATGCACCTGCAAGAGCAGCGGCCTTGGCGGCTGGAGCTGTCCTAGCTGGGAATGCGATCGATCCTCCGCACCCCGGACAGTATCAGCCTGTCAACATACCTCCAGTTGCGGGCCCTGCGGTGGGTGCAGCACCTGAGGCGATACCAAATGTCATGGATGGCCGTCAGCTGGTGGACGTTCTCCTCCGCATGCAGGACGTGACCGTTCCTAGATGCAACTGGGCAGGGACGTTTGATGCGATTGGCAGGCTTGAGGATGCTATAAATGCCAGTGCAGCTGCATCAAGGGCTTTCACCAGTGCGTGGAGGATAGCCGATCCTGAAGAAGCGTTCAAGCAGATGCTCCTGATGAATGATGCGTATGCCTATGGCATGCAGGTGGCCATGATCGAGAGAGTGTGGAGCTGCTGCTGGATGGATAGCTCCAGCTGATGTTGCTGCTACGCACGCCAATGCAAACCCTTACCAATTGGACGCGCCAGCAGCCCTCCCTGCGCTCGAAAATGAGCAGCGTCTTGAGGTGACGGTGAGGACAGCAGCAACAGCAGTCTCACATGCTTACACGAGGTTGGGCATGGCCTTTGTCAAAGCAGAGCAGGCAAGAACAAACTACATGGCTTCTCCTGTCATTGTTACCCAAATCGGGTTTTCAGCGAACGGCCTGAGTGGCTTCGCGGCGCCATCACCTTATGGAGTGGCGGACAAGGAAGACATGGTCATCTTCCTGCTCAATGAGGAAGTGTCCTGTGTCAAGCTACCTCATGCAGGATTCGGAGTCTTCGGTTTGGAAGCAGATGTCCTGTGCAAGGAGTACGCCTTGCAGACTGGCCAGAAGAAGGTTGTCTTCTACTGGAGTGAGAGCTCCAGGGCAAGAGGCACTTTGCTCATCAAGGCTCAGAGCAGGTCGTACAACAAAGGCTTCGCAGAGTCGACGATTGGTCAGAGAACTCAAAGCGTTGTCCTTCTGGCGAATCAGCACGGCCAGATAAACCGTCGCTCGTTCCAGTTGGTGCTGCAGCGTCTAACCACAGAGGATGATGAGCCACAGCTGGTGAGAGCCCCGCTGGCAAGGAACATCTACGGTGGTAGACAAGGCAGGATCGTCGCCGCCATGTTCCCGTGGGGCGATATGCAGACAAGGAGGCTGTGGGGCATCAGGGTGAGCGGCTTGCAGAACAGGTTTTACGAGCGCCTGAAAACATCGAACCGCATCTTTGGTTCCTTTGTGGCCGGATTGTATCAAGACTCCGGCAAGCGAGAGACAGGTACGCTTGACAATGTTCATGTCGCGCCTGCCTTTCTCAGCTTGAACCCATACAGCGGTGGTTTCGTGGATGAGCTGTCAACTTTCGAGTTGGCAAGCAGCCTGTGACACAGAAGTGAGATGTTGGCGAGGGCTTTTGGGAGATTTACTCCTGAAGGCCGGTCCCTGATCGCTGACATCTGGCATGCATGGCCAGGGGACGCAGTCGGCGCGAAGCGCTTTGCTGATGGCTTTATCTGGCTTGGAGAGCAGAGACGCCACATCAGCGAATTCAATGTAGCTACTAGCTACGAACTCATCTACTTTGACATTGCATCCGAGAGTTTCAATTTTGGACCACTGCACTCCTACATCTTCGGAGGATGGGCGGAACTGCCTTGCATCACAGTGACAGTGAGGAATCATGTCTTCGGCAAGTTGTATGAGGTACTTCATGCCGTGAGTGACAGCTTGCTTGAGCCTCATGCAATGGAAGGAGCGCCTTTGGAAGAGTGGGAGCCCGACTCCTTTCTCGAAGCGTACGTCGTGTTACCACTGGCATTTCTGAAGTCAGTAGCGCTAGATGTGAGAATGCCGAGACGTGCCTATCTGGAGAAAGTTGTGAGTCGCATGGAAGCATGTGGACCGGCGTTTGGGTATCACCGAGCATGTAGCATTTTGCTGGATGGCATGTTGAACCCCATTGCAGAGGAAGAGTTGCAGTGGGAGATGGACAATGGCCTGTTTGAGCTGCCAATGAAGCAAGCAACAAAAGTGATGAAGACCAAGCACGTATATGAGCGTCTGATGGCGCAACGTGTTGTTGACTTTGAGGCAGGCAGGAGCACAAGGGTGGAAGAACTCAGCCTGTCATTGTATGGTGACGTGAGGCATGGCAGAGCAGATTACGGCTTCGATGTGCTACAAGACCACTTCAATCGGCTAGTGCCTGTTCAGAACAGGGTGGCCTTTGACCTGGAGGAGAGGCGATTCACAGAAGAAGCCTACCTGCGCCTTGAGTATTCTGAGATCAAGCGCCTGATGATCGGAGCGGTGGCAGCAGCTAAGCATGACGATTTCGTCGTCTTGAGTGAGCTGGATGGTGTTGCCCAAGATTATGTTGCTCAAGGGAGGACGAAGACAGAGAGGCCGCAGCTAAGTGAACTGCTCAGTGAGGAGAACCCGTTAGCAGACAAGAAGGCTGAAGATTTCGTCAAGAAAGCAGTAGCTGCAGATGATGCCGATATCAGGCCCAATCGCAGAGCTGCCATGGAGATCTTCGGTCTAGTGGGTCCGGCTATGATGGCTCTCGCGTTGGGTACGCAGCTGGGTGCCTTGATTGTTTGGGGTGGCCTTTGTCATGGTTGTGCGACACTTCTTGAAGATAGAGGGTGGCAAAAACAGAGAGCTCTTGCCAGTTGATGCTTTCTATGATGCCGTCCAGGGTGCCGCGCATTATCCTGTGTTGGGCACATGGTTCAAGGATCCTCACCTTGCTGCGGGCTACGTGGGATCAGCAGCTTTCACGGACATGGCAAGGAGAATCAACATGTTCCGCAAAACCTGGTTGGATACTGGTAGGCGTGTTTTCTCTGCTGCCGGTGACCACACAGACTACAATGACTACAACGCTACACAGTCTGGTTCTATATCGGACAACTTCCACCAGGCGATGAACGATGCAGAAGAGGAACTTGGCATAGGCAACTCTGACTTTGTGAGCGATTGGCCATTTTCAGAAGAGGTCAAGACCAGGCGCGAAGTGCGCAAGAGGTACTTCATGTTGATGAAGCACATGTCAAAGCATAAGGTACTGCACCTGACGGGTGACGAAGCAGCTGAGTTCAAGGAGCAAATGGCTTTGCGAAAAGATGAGCTCATAGCCAAGGCACTCGAGGAACCAAGGTGCAGAGGACCTAAGCTGACCTTGAAGATATTATCTCAGTGGTTGTCATGTGGGACCATACGTTAATGAGTGCCAAGGGAGATACAATGGCAAGAAACACGATGGTCCATTCACCATATATGTTGGCTTCGCTCCAGGCTCTTGAATTTGTGTTCCAAATCACGCCTCTTGAGTACTGGATGAAGGGCGACGATAGCTCAGCACATTTCACCGAGCCAGTTGCTGCTCAGCTGAAGCTTCAGCTTGACTCGTTCGTAGGACATCATATGTCCGTCGAGAAATCGCTTCCAAGAGAAGGATTAGGAGAGGCTGAAAGGATATTTACAAATGGGATTTCAGGAAGGCGACCTCTCCGGCGAACCATAGGCAACCTGCCGACGCGTTCACCGCAAACGTCTGACCTGCTGACTGGCTTACAAGAGAGAGATCTTGTGCGCACACAGCTGGAAAGATGTGTGCGTGGGGGAGGGTTGCCAGAGGCAGCTGAGCTGTTGATGGAAGCTTTCGAGAAGGAAGTGGTGTTGAAGAGATCAGGGTACGCCAACTTCTACATGCAGGCTAAGCATGTACCAAAGGTTGATGGCGGCTTAGGGCATTACCCAACGCTACCGCCTGGAACGATGAAGCCTACAAGCCAAGCAGTGCCGAGGAAGCGCTTCCTAAGAGCATTTGCTGTGATGATGCCATCAATTGCTACGACTGCGTACCTGGAGAGGCGCAGAAAGCATTATCCTCAGTAAAGGCTGAAAGTGAAACGCCTGGCATCAAGGAGACAGGAGCGGACTGGGGCCTTGAGATCTCAGGAGCCAACTTGCAGTCAGTGGAACCCTTCGAAGTACGCAAAGAGAGGAGAAGAGAGGCCGACAAGTCAGTGCAGAAGGGAGCGTTCGTGGCAACGAAAAAAGGAGACCCGTTTGTCAGAATGCCAGCAATGCTTCTGGTGCTTGTTAGCGAGCACGTTCAGCAGCTAAGTGAGGTGATCTCAGGGCTGCGACAGAAGCCAATGTTTGGCGTTGATCCGCTCAAAGCACTGCTCGGAGCTGTGCGCGCGAGCGGTCTGCCTGACACAGAGCATCTGCTCGAAGCTGGTAAAGCGTTCAAGAAAGCAGGACGTCTGGTCGGCTCATCTCCGTTCAGGGTGCTTATCATAGCCGCAGAAATGTTGGGTTCCAAGGTGGCTGGGCAAGCAGAGGAGGCGGCGAGTGTCTTGGAAGACAGCACATGTATGAAGCTGATCCAGCAAGGCGTTGCCTTCGATGAACTGCCGATGCCCGGGTTCCCTGAGGAGATCTTGGCCATGATGCAAGAAGCGGCCAGAGCAGCAGTGTTTGCCGTTGCAGTCGATGAGGACGTCAGCAGTGAGCAGCAAGCGCATGGGGTATAGGAGGTACTCAGCGCTGGCGAACGCCTACATGCTCAAAGCCTTCGGGCTCTTTTGGTCAGGTCCGGCTTGTGCTGCTTACGGAGGCCATTAGGCTAAGTAATCGTACAAATTACAAGTAGTACCAGCACTTGAAGTAGCACATAGTCCATAATTCTCATACTACACTAACAGACGTGGTTGTTGACAGCAGCACAAGTCTGATTAGGATGCAAGGATAAAGAAAAAAAACCCTGGGCCTGCTGTGATTGTTAACCCTTTCGCCGGCGTGCTTGCTGGGACCCCAGGGGCGGCACTAAGGCCTAGGATTGTTTCCAGGCCGAAGAGCACCCAGCAAACAGGCGTGGGGGTCACAGTAGGGCGACAGTGCCGGCATTTTGGGTCTCTTCGTGGCTGGAGGCTGACGTGTTTCTTGCGGGAGGGTTCCCGGTTCGAACCTGGTGATCGCGCTTCTACACTTGACATGATCTGATGGAACAGCTACCAGTGGATCCTGTTTCACGCGGGGAGTGAGCGGTTACGCAAGTGTCGATGGTACTGCAGTTCGGCTTGATCGCGGTTCTCGCCTGGAGTGCGCAGTTACGCAAGCGGCTATGAGCTGATGGAAGCTCTGTCGGGATGGATCCCGGTTCGCGCCTTGTGTGCGCGGTTACGCAAGCGGCTATGAGCTGATGGAAGCTCTGTCGGGATGGATCCCGGTTCGCGCCTTGTGTGCGCGGTTACGCAATCGGCAATGAGCTGATAGCCCTGGCGGGATGGATCCGGTTCGCGCCTGGATCGAGTGCACGGTTACGCAAGCTGCAATGAGCTGATGGAGACTCGAGTCGGGATGGATCCGGTTTGCGCCTGGGGTGCGCGGTTGGCCACCCGGTTCGCCTGCCCTAAGACCCTATGTTTTTTCACGGTTTTCGTTGTGGTTTGATCCTTAAGCCTTCGGGCCGGAGGTGATGCCACTGCTAACTAACAGGCCAGGCCTTCGGGTCTCGGTCGTCCCTCCACTCCACTCCACTCCACTCCTATTTGAGTACATGGAGTCCCTTTATAGGTACTTTAGGGCCAAGGTGTGTGCTATTTGGGTACACCTGGACCAAGGCAGGTGGCCACCGACCCCTGGCCGTGCTGGAGATAGGACGAAACAGCTGTGCGAATCTGTCGCACGCACGAGGAGTGAAGCACCTTGCAGATCTCCGCACTGAAGATTCTGGTGCATGAGCTCTCGACAGCCTGCTTGATCCAAGAGTGCGATACGGGCGCACGTTGTTCTGTTTGTGTTTGGCTGTCGAAGCCTTGTTGCCTGGCCTGTCAGCTGTCGGCTTGTGCCTATCTTAAACTGCCACAACCCACCTGTCTTGTACGTTCCTATATAATCCCTCATTCAGCGTTTATCGGGACTCTGCCAAGAAAAGATATGGTTTGGGTAGATTAGAGCCGCTAAGTTAGTGGAGTCCCCCCTTGGAGTCTTGCCCCACGTTGAAAGATCCGTTTCCCTTACATTGACTGCCAAACCTTCAATCGTCGAAGCCCTATATCCTCACCCCAAGGGTGTACCCGTACCTTAAAGCACCAGTGTAGGACATAGGGACTACCCAGGGGCCCCAAAGTAGTTCCTTTTTGGGTGTGTCCTCTTTTTTGGTTAGGGACTCTAATATACTACCCAAAAAGGAACTACTTTGGGGCCCCTGGGTACTTTGAGGCTAACATGTATGCTATATGAGTACATGGACCCTCTTGGTTAGGCAGTGCGCAAAGAGCCTCCCAAATTGAGGTGCCGTTGATTTTTTGGGGGCCGCATGTAAAGAGGACCGGGTAGGTCGGACCATGTGACCTCGACGAACATAGAGGCAGGAACAGCTTGTAATAGCATTCCCTGACTAGGGTGTAGGGTTTCAGACTTCTTATCGTTACCCAAATCTCCCTAGTACAACATACCCCAAAGCTCTATTGAAATTGTTCAGCCCTAAACCCTAAACCCCATTTAGCAGCATCAGGGCGAGGGTTTGTAGATTAGTGCTCCCGGTCCCGGTTACGGGTGGAGAGAGCCTTCAACCTGAAATCCCTGAACTCCCAAATCCTTAAGCCCCTCACCCCCAAAAAAACTGCACTTCCCCGAAGGGTGGCATCACAGATGGCGACAGATCCTTGCCTCAACCTGTGGGTTCCTTCAAGTTCCAGATCTCTTCTTGTTCTTGGACGGTATATCTTAATCTGTCCCCTGCATGTAGCAGCAGGAGGAGTAGTAGTAGCAGTAGTAGCTAGTAGTCTAGTACTGGCGCTGGTAGTGGTGCTGGTACTGGCAGTACCAGTACCAGTACCAGTGGCAGTACCACTGCCAGTACAGTTACTACTACTACTACTACTACTACTACTACTACTACTACTACTACTACCACTGCTGCTGCTACTGCTACTATTGAATACGACTATACTACTGTGATGATGATTATTAATTATTGTCTGTATGGCAAAGTATTATCTTTATTCTCCTGATCTCAATATCCTATACTGGGTGGTTTTGGAGGTCTCTCGTATTTGTCACTGAATCGAGGGTTCAGGCTGTAGGATTCCCTGCGCCCATCCCTTGCCCCCGTCACCCACCCTCCAGAAACCTTGTTCTGCTTGTTTACTACTATTTGCTTAAGAACCCCCAAAAAATAGAAAATATATTCCTTATGGGGGTAATATAGGGATTACTATTTTTATTTTTGTGTGGTTTCTTAAGCAAGTAGTAGTTTAGGCATTGGGAGTAGGTTCAACGTCTTCGTGAAACGCGACAGCACATCTTCAGTTCCCAAGGCCCTGGACCAGAAAGGCCATGACCTTATTAGGAGCCCTAGGCTACCCTAAAATTTAGGTTTTTAAGAGGTCATGATCAGCTATTGAAGAAGTTTAGGCAGGAGCCCAAAACCTATTGTTTTTCTTTAGGAACCTTAGGGAGTGGTGTGATGCGCTTGCCGGGTATCCCGGAAACAAATTCCTAAACCTCCCAGCCCTGGCTCCATACTACGTATAGCCCAATCGATGTACGCATACCCACAATTATCAAGTCCCATGGTCCTTAAAGCAGAGCCGCAACTCTTAATCCTGAGCCCCAACTGCGTCAAGCCCAAAAGCCCAACTTCAATGCGCTTTACTGGGCGATGGTAATCTCAGGTGTGGTGGTGTTCCCCCCGGAGGGTGAGGAGAATCCCCATGTCAGTGCTTGTCGAAGAAACATGTGCCAGGGCTGCATGCGGGAGCGTCCGAGGAATCATTCAACAACTCGAAACAGGTTAGGGCCCCAAGCATTTGTATAGATTCCGATAACGGTGCCCTAAACCCTTTAACCCTTGAACCTCTTCTCCGATGGTGAGAAGTATAGTGGTGTCTTGGATAGTAGAGCCCTTCAGGGTATTGTATTCGGGTCTACAGCCCTATCATTTGGGTACTTGGTTCCTCTGGCTCGACAGGTGGAGGCGTGTAACTTTTTGTAACCCTCATCAACCCGGAACGTTGGAACCGTGAACCGAAGAAATTGCCATTGTTTTGGGTCCAGATGCCCCTTCAAGGAGGTTCTTGATAATTGGATCTTAAAGCCTCTGCTGAACCTCTGGAGAACCGCTATACTTAGAGGATCATGCGGCTTAGTAAGCAGGGCTACTAGTACGTCCATTGGGTAATAAGTACTTGTAAGTATAGTTACCCTAATGACAACCCCAGTTGCTAAGTCCCATGATCGTTTAAGCAACGTCTATTGGACCCTAAGTGCTAAAACGGCCATTATTTTGGGACCGTAGACTTTTGTTTCGAGGGTGCATAGAGGGTCCTGATGAGTGGGTCTTAAAACCTGTGCCGAGCCTTGGCAGAACCGTTCTATCAAAGGGGAAAAGGAGGGACCTTAATGGGGACCCCTACCCTATAATGGGCTATATTATGGGTATATAATGGCTATATTAACGGTATATACCTAGGGGTCCTTATTTAGGGTCCCTCCTTTTACCCTTGGATTCTGTGGAACCCCAGTGTTTAGGGTTTAGGGATATAGATCCTGCCCTACCCACAATAGGGAATATGTACCATCATTCCCACAGCCTGATCATTAAGGCGATGCAGGATTTATGCCATCAGCCGATTGATGATACGAATCCTGCATTACCCGTAATAAGGAATGTACAATAATTCCCATCGTTTAGGGTCCTTAAGACAATGCAGGAATTTTATAATCAAGCCTAGAACCCGAAGCTTGAAAAGTTCCTACTATCATAGATCATGTTGCATGGTCGCAGCCATAAATCCTGAACCCAGGCTAAACCTCGAACAACAGTAGACTCCTCGACCGTAAAACCCTAAACCCAAAACTCCTAAACTCCTAAACCCTAAACCCCAAACACGAATCCCCAAAACGTCCGGGTTCTGGCGATGATCTGAGCAGTTGAGAGCCAGAAAGCTCCGGGGCACCATTGTGTCAGACTACACCTTACATCCTGAATCCTTCTACCGTACCAGGAACCCCACCCCCCTAAGTTCCCTTCAATGGGGTCTAGGTATACCCTAAACCGTACCCGGAACCTGAGAAACCTACATTCGTTGAGGCTGTATATGAGGAAATCGTACCAAGCAACCCCAAAAGATGAGTTACTTGGGGTGAAGATAGACCCTGAAGTTTAGGGTTTAGGGCTGACCTACGGTTGATGATATAAACCCTGCATTACCCCAAGGACCCTACACTATGGGAATTTCGGTATATTCCTTTTATGGGTTGTGCAGGATTTATATCATCAACAGTAGGGGATGTTCTACGAACGAGGCTTGAATCTCAGAAGTAGCGGTATCCCCTCTCGCACCGACCTCTCGCCCCCCATCTGTGTAGTTCTGTACATTAAGGTCCCTTTGGGGGTCCTACGGGTGTCGCCTTCTTTTGGGTTCCTGAAAACGGACCATAATGTAGAGAACTACACATATACATATATACATGTGTATATATATATATATATATATATGTATATATATATATATATATACATATA